AGTACAGTCTAATACTCAAAGTGACAGTCACAAATCAAAGAGGAGAAGAGTTGTCTGTCTCCCATAGCTGTCTGCAAACATACACTGAAGCCTCAAACTGATGCATTGTTCCTCTAGAGAGGCATACTGAAAGGAAATTGGGTTGCTTTGCCCTTCTGCAGAGCATTTGGCATCTCCCTAGGTGATGAAACATTTGTTGTTACCAACAACGTGAACATTCCTATGTGGAAGTATTTTTTGCTTCTGTAAATATGGGTGCTTGGGCGAAATGAATGGATCACAAAATAATAAGGAACGGGGCAATTACCAGCAGAACTTATTTATTCTCTGTTGTTGAGCCTCAGTGGTGGAGGGAACAGAGTCATCTCTGCACCCTAATGAAATGTGACAGACGTTTAGAGACCACAGGCTGACATTTTCTGACAGCATCACCATCTGCACACTGAAAGCTGCTAGTATCTGGACATCATAATCTGTTAAGGGCTGTTTATTACTGTACCTCCAAATCTGCGCAGGTCACGCAAATCCTGGAGTTAAACGTCATCAGCTTTGTATGTAGTCCCCTTACCTTAACCAGGATCTAATCCTCAGTCTCTCACTGTGTTCCCTAGTTGGATGTTTGACTTTCTAAATAATTAAGCAAATAACCTAAGATGTAGATACTTGAAAGGGAAATAAAAATAAAAAAGAAAAAGCCTTCTGGCCTGCCAACAGGCAAAATAGAAGTTAACCTAATTCTTACCAGGGCAGATGGAGTTATATAATCTGATTTGTAAGAGTAAGAGATTTTTCATATAAGTAAGGATTTAGTATATATGATGTACAGCAGTTTCTGCAGCTGCAGAATCATAACATGGCAGTAGTTTCTACAATCCTACTTCTACAGACAATGCAGGTATAGGGAAAACTGTTTAAAGAATGAAAGATGCAATAACAACAGGGGGTTTTACCTAAATCAAGGAAAAAAATGTTGCCTCAGATATGCTGGAACACAGAGATTAAAACAGGGACTACAGGACTGATCCAATATTTTTTTCTCAAGCATTTTTTTCAGATCAAGGAAAAAGGTGACCTTGAGAGACAACAGTATAAGTTAATTGGAGTAAAAAAAGCAGGCAACACCCCCCCCCCAACAAACCAAACAGTGGAGGTTAACTTCATCTTGCAGACTTCAGTGTTTCCTTGCATTATAAAAAAAAAGGATAAAAAGTTGAAGAGAGAAGTCAAGTTACAAAAACAGACGTGCCAATTTGGCTTTGAAGAAAATGTTCTGTTTCTGAGGTCAGGTACCCTGAAGAGTGGTCTTGAATTCCAAACTTGTTTGCTAGAGTACTGTGTTTGCTTTCCTTCCTGGTAGTGAACATGGAGTACTCAAGGGCTTCACTTCTTTTTTTTTTTTTTTTTATTATTTTTATTTTTATTAAATAAACAAAACACCAACATAACCCCACACAAGGAGGGACTTGTTTAGCTGCTCCACCTGGTGGACGAATATTGCTGGTCAGGCAGAAGCCCAGTGCCTTCTGCAGTTTTACTTCTTGGAGTCCGGCTTGAGACATGTTTCTTTCTCCTCCATCCATCTCCTCTGAGCACAGTGATGAGCACTCCGTCACCTGGCTCAGGAATTGATCTTTGAAGCCACCTTTTGGAAACAGAAGATTTGTGTACCTCCTGAAACAAATAGCTCTTGACTTTATGGCATCCCAGTGTCTCAAGTGCTACTGAAATATGGAAATTTGCAGCCTTGTGTTCTTTCACCCAGTTACCAGAGTTAAGCATGGCATGGGGCTGATTCCCTTAAACTTGAAGATGATGCAAGGATGCACTGGGTCTTTGCACCTCTGGTATCTCAGATATCTCTGTTTTGTGGGTCTCTTGATTTGAGTGCTGTCTGGAAGTGAATACATTAAAATAAAGAAACATATAAGGTCAAGAGTCACAAAACCAACTCAACACTGTTGCGCCCTGCAGATTTCAGTGACCTGAACAGAGGTAGACAAGACAAATTCCTGTTCCTGCCTATAGATTTAGGAAGTCTAACAATCAGTAAAGCAAAGTGGTTGTATAAAAGTATCTATAATTCTTGGAAATATGATGGGAGGAATTACAAGAACTGGTGACATGTTTTATTTGTTTACTTTACATGTTTAATTACGAAAGGTTGCTGGTCTGCACACATATAAACTTCAGCTGGTGGAGCACAAAGCAAACTATTAGATCCTCACCACTGTAGATATTCAGATCTGAAAGTCTGTTCTTCTACTGTAGTGGGTAAAAATCCAAACCAGGTATGCAGTCTATGGGAAATCTGAAGGCAGCTGGACCTAGTAAATTGTCAGAAGTCAGGGCAAACTGTGTCCCAGGAACAGTTTTTGCCTTGGAAGGAAATATTAAAGATCACTGCTTTATGGGTAATCTCTCATCAAGAGAAGGCAAGAACACACCTGCTGATACAGTTGTCCTCCTTGGAAATAAACACATACAGTGAGCTGTGGGAAAGGGTCAATATCCCACCAGTGAGGCAAAGATGGTTTTATATTCACTCTCCCTGTTCTGGAAGCAGATGGCTATTTTAGTACATCTAGTAGCTGAGGATTTTCAGAATGAGCTGTCTCATGTGAAAGAAAGGAGGAGAAACAGTGTTAGTTGGAGGTATGTTTAGTAAGAAAATATGTGGCAAGCACATCCACTATAGCAACTGGAGACAGTGGCTTAACATTCTGGGATGCATGTGCACACATGGATGCATGTGTGCAAAGAATAGCAGCTATTCACTCCCTAGGGTGGAAGCAAATGGGTCACTCTGCCAAAGGACACAATTCAAAGTCTTATGTAGACACAAGGAGGTAGCATTTAAGTCTTCAGAACAATACAGTAGTGCTCATTTTCCACCTAATATCACAAAGCAAGCAATTACAGTCTTCACTAGGCAGCGTTTCTAAATGGGTTTCAGCTCTGAAAGCACACATGAAATATTTTCCTTAAAGCTACCAGGAGTGTCTTACTCTAATGTTTTAGAATCAGCCTAGGTGGGTTCAGTTTCCAGCTTGCATAAGAGTTAATTTTCTCTCTTTCAGTACAAGTTCTATACCCAGTTAGTGTCACAACATGTGAATGACGTGTGGTGATCTGCCCTGTGTGGCCTCCTGAAAGCAACTGAAGGGGAAAAAAAAACAACAAAAAGCACCGCCACAACAACAAAACCCCTCACACTTCCTTTTCTTTAGAACAGTGCTCATTGTTGCTACTCACCTTTAGTGAAAGACAAAGGCCACACCACAATGGAGCATGTAATTCCACAGCGGTTCTAATCAAACCCAAACTAAACATTAACTATTGTTATTTTAGTGTTAAAACTAGCAAGCTTATATAACAAAATCCAAGTAGCAAGTCACTGGAGGAAAAGTTATTAAAAAAGAAAAGCTGCTTATGTTAATTAAACAAAGAAAATCTGCCTGACAGACAAGAATAGCTTAGAGGCAATGCATTTGAAATATGTACCTATTTCTTGGTGTTCCCTAAGCACTCAAACACAGCTAGTATGTGTGCTCATCCATTCAGTCTTAAGGATTAAAGAAATTGTTGGTCATGTTGGCTAAATCCAGGGAAGATACAGTGGGCTTTAAAAAACAAATCCTGTGCCTGTCCACCAGGTTTTATGAATGTAGCTCTGGAAGTAGAGAAAAGAGACTTTACTTCTGCTCCCTTTGAAAGGCAGGATACAGTGCAAATTAAAAACCTACTGGGCTTCAGGGAATCCCTTTATTCTGGAAAACCTAAAATAGGGAAAAATGTTCTGCCAGGGATTGTCATGAGGCACCAAGAGCCAACAATGAGAAACCCCATCCATTAGAAAACAGGTTCCATCAGTACTGCTGCTCACTCCCTACTGAGTGTCAGGTGAGGAAGACATTACCAGCAGCCCAGGTTTTCCCCCTCAATCCCACAAACTCTTTTAACAAGTTGATCCCTGTGTTGCAGGACCCCATTGAGAGAAATTAGGCTATGTCAATATTCAGGTTTTCATTAGATTTCTTCTCAGATCTGAGTAGATAACCAAGAGACTCAGAGTGAATCCCACACCCCTTCGAGAATATATTCTACTTCTTCTTACCTTTTCCCCTAATTTAAATTAAAGGCTTTTTTTAGAAAAGCCTTCAGTAATGACACATTAACCCCTGCATTTAATATTAGCACACATTTAAAAAACAACTACAGCATATTTCATGATAATCATATTGAGAATAGTTACATAGCAATTATTATATACTTACCATTGTAGACATACTACATTCTGAGACACTTAAAAAGGTCATAAAAAAATATAAATCAAACACAAAATGAGTAGAGACTGTAAAATTATTAGGTGCATTGCTTCCTATTGAATAAATAGTCAAGGACTTCCAATCTTAACTGTATTATCACAGAATGCTTTCATTTTTTCTGAAATTATAAAATTAAGATGGCTGTTTCCAAATCACAGTTGCTTTTATTTTCTTTTATTTCAGAGCAGGGATTTCCAATGTAACTGCACAGAACCAAAAACTTTATGAAGAGTATTTAGTAATCTCTTACAGCATCCTGCTGTGGCCACATGAATTTCCATTTAGGTGTTGCTGCTTTATTACAAAGAATAGTGCAAGTATGGTAATAAAACTGTGATAATCAACTTGAATGAAAACATAGCAAGCACAGTGCAGATAGCCACACACATCCAATTCTTTTTCATGAGAGGAGGTGTGTGAAATACTTTCATCCATTTGTGCATTCTTCTGCTTACCACTGGTAAATGCTAAAAGGTGGCGAGTTTGTTTCAAATACATATAGATACCATTTTGATTGTCTTGCACTTCTAAGGTATGAATTATTGTGTAGAATAATGCAGTCACTACTACAAATCTCATAAGCACACTGCTTTCTTCATAAGATTGTCTAGTGAATTTGAAAACTACTTCCCTTCTTTTGACAAGAGAAACTAGAGATATGTAAGGTATTAAGAGTTTCTTTAAGAGTTTTTTTATTTGTAATCAGATCTGCATCACATCTGTCATAATCTCTATAGTCTGTATTTTCTCCAGAAAATATAATCTGTCAGCGAAGATACCAAAAATACCCGCTTTCACCTTGTAGTAAGCGTATAACAAACCAAAGGTAAAATTTTCTCTTGTGCAGTCCTCTCACATACTGTACAGACACCAATCATATATCCTAGATACAAGTGGTATGCAGAACACCCTTTGTCAATAGGAGATACTAAATGCATGCCTTATTTTAGGGATATATGTACTATAGATAGGAGACACATTATTTGGCTCTCAGGGAAAACTACATTATTTAAGCTACTGTATTTGTTTTTTCTTGACAGGAGACCATAGAAAACTTCCTCAAGGCTCTGTTAGGCTTCCTATAATTTTTATCTTCCCAAGATATTATACTTCTGACAGTACTGAAAATGATGGGCATGATTTAATGGTTGGGTAATACTGTGTGTAAAAGGTCAAGGAAAGTAAAGGGATATTTTGGAAGAGCATAGTGGGAAGAGGAATAGAATGGGCTCATATGAAGACTGGATTCACTGGCTTCAGACATTCCTCTTTTTCTAACATTATGACTTTAAAAAAATTAGACATGCAATCAGGGTTCCAAACTACACCAAGATTATTGAAGTAATTACTAGGAACATAATTAAAAAAACAAAACAAAACAAAACAAATAATAATAAAAAAAAAAAAAAACACAAACCAAACAACATACTGCCAACATTCTGAGACATAAAGCATTAAAAAAGTAGAATAATCCCAAAGAAATGGGGATTTTGCTGTTCTATAGCTCTCTTTCCTACAACACTGTAGGTGAGTCCATGGTAGACACCATTTTACACCACAGTCTCTCTAACAGGCTTGCTCTGCCTCATCCACTAGACTTGCCTGCCCATCATCCTCAGAATTGGACCTTTACTCATGATCAGTTTTCTTAGACTCTCAGAAAGCAAAGACACAGAGTGCTTAGAAAAAAGCTATTTCCCAACCAAAGGTCAACTGATGTAAAAGCTAATGGTAAAAAAATTACTATTATGACAAACACACACATGCATCAAGACCCAACTACTTCCACCTTTCAAAGTCTGCTTGGCTGGAAAAATTCACCCAGTGTCTACAGAAGCAAATCTGCTGTGTGTAGGAAATCCAAGTCAGTTTTCATCATTAGAGGATTTAGAACAACTTTAATGATGTCAAATTCTTCTTTGCATTTTTAAGTGAAAGAAGATTGAGCTAAATGATTACCTGGTATGAGTCAGTTCTGTTAATTTTTTTTTTTTTTTTTTAATGGAACCAAGCAGATTTCAAAGGCTTAATATTACAGTATGTCAGTATTCATGACTAAGCCTCTGGCCATGAGAAAGAATCCTGAAATTGTTTAACACAAGCAGTAACACACAGTAAGTAATAGCCAATTATTTAAACAAAAGTCTCTTTGAGAATCATCTGAGTAGAAAAGCAATTAATAAAGTTTGTCTCCTTCTTTGCAGATCCTGTGCATCTGCTTCTCCATATTTTTAGGTGCATTACTACAAGAATTCAGTTGAAGCAGAGCTACAAGCCATTTCTAGAATTAAATATATTGCTATTAATTTCAGATGCATAATAATAGTGCAATCATCATTACAGTAAGGGAGCATAAAAGTGAAAGCTATATTTATTTAATTTGTATTTTCAGAAACATCATGGATTTCTTCATCTATATAAAGCAGTTAAAGGATAACTTCTGTATTACAGGCATAAAGCAGTGTTATTTAAGGTGAATCTATGTAACAATCACAAACATCTAAATTCACTTTATGCCCAGCAGGTAAGAAATATCTACCGTGACAGAATTCAGACACGGTATATTTCCATCTTTCAAGATATTAATAAAATCAAACCCTTTTTTTTAAAGCCACTCCAGTCTTCACTTTCTATAAATCAAGTCCCAGCAAAGTTACAAAACTGAAGGAAAAGCTGGCAAATTCCGTATCAGCACATTTCTCTTCTTTCAATATCAAGAAAATCAAAAGGAATAGTTGAGGCACAAGTGATTTCTATGCAGAAGTATTTCAAATAAGTAGACTAAAACTTCAGTACTTCTTTTAACTTCTTTTAAAAAATACATAGATCATAGGTCTATGATCACAGTCATAGATCATGGTCATAGCAGTCTTACTGGATTGGCTTGTTTGTTTGTTTGTTTGTTTGTTTTTCAAGATGAAGAAAGAAATTGGTTCATGGAACTTACCAAATCCACTTTATACTGCCATTTCACATAGTCCATGTTTAAACAAAGCAAAGTACAAACCCGTGCTTCAAGGCAGCCTGAAAACATTCTGCTACACTCAACAGTAAACTATTTCTTCGGTGAAGACAGCTTCAGTGAACCCAGTAACTCAGAGAAGAGTCTGTCCAGCTGAACTGACATGGACTTTGCACGCAGAACTTACATGAAAGTGCACTGACAACAAGCTTTTGAGAATAAGTCCATACCATAAGAGTTTGTGCTTGAAACTACTTTTATAGCTATGGTTATTGTTTCTGTTAAGAGGCACTGCATGAATATGGAGTTAGTCATCTAATGCACTTAATATTTCTCAGCTGAGGACTATTGCAGCTTTACCCTATGTCTAGGTGTGATTATACTTTGGTTTGCTTTACAACAGTAACATTGCACTAGCAATACAGCTGATACTAAAGAGGAGGCTGAAAAAACTGCAGACTGGAGGACTGAAAACAACCAATCTGCTCCTTTACTTTTTTTCATGTTTCTTCGTTAATTTTCCTCTTTCTAGCTGAAGGCTTGTGCTGTTCGTTCGCTTCTCCTTTTGCTGGCTCTCCTGGGAAACTTGCTGCACTGCTCGAAGAATAGCAGTCTGCACAATCTGCTTGCTGGCATTCTGTAGCTTAACTTCATCTTGCTCTGTCCCTGGCTTCTCACCTGCCAGAATAAAATGAGAAAAAAAGGCAACTAAACATTTGTGGCTACTCTGTGAACACCAGAAGGATAGAAAAAGAGGAGAAAAAAAACAAAACAAAACAAAAAACAGAAACAAAAAACAACCAAAACCCCACAAAGTGCTTGAAAACATTTTATTACATATGGAACCTTCTAATACAGAAGGTGATGAAGTAGGGTGGAGAGTGCCTCTGTGCGTTCAGTGCTAGAGGACCAAATGAAGGGGGAGACTTTGAGTCATCCAGCTCAGTTATCGACTTCCCAGCTCTGGGGACAGCTGTGGCTTCAGAGCTGAAACAAACACAGCTGCATTTTGCAGCAAGACAGGGAAGGAGGGTTTTCTCATCCAGCTGTGAATCACATCCTTTTTGACTTGAGCTGTTCTTCTGGATGTGAAATTGGACTTCATTTTGCAAGCCTGATATGTACTCCCTCACCATCATACAGAGAAAAAGCCATTGCATTAACATTTCTATTTACTTTTACTTCAGATTAAAATTCTTCATCCATCAAATTCCAATTTGACTTTGAGGTACAAAATTTTAAGTGTCAGTTTATTAAACCTTATCTACATTTACAAAAATATTTGCAAAAGCATTAAAAAATGCTCAGATTGCTATATATAAAATAAAATTTTTAAAAATGACCACCATCATCTATAGCAACCTGACAAATATGTATTTCTTATGTGACACTTCGTTGTTTTGCCAAGGTGCTAAAATCTGGAGAACAAAGTAATGTAGTGTGAGTATTGACATTTGGTAATGAAGAAGAGTAGTTCATGTTATCTAATCCCTGAAAAGGAATATTAACTCTATTTCAGCCCAAACCAAGACAACTGTGTAGAGGTCTGAGACTGTGTTGGGACCATTACATGTAGGAGCTGGACTCCCATCCAGGATCCAGACATATCATGCAGTCAGACATGAACTGCATCCCTGGTTGTGTGGTGCCCATCACAGCTGGCTCATCTAGACATGATCCTGGGAAAATTATTCTAGGTGATCCTGCGTGGGCAGGGGTTGGACAAGATGAGCTTCAGAGTTCCCTTCTAACCTCAAGCCTTCTGCATTCCTGTGATTCTAGCTGGTGAAGCTACCATAAACCCCAACTTTTCTATTACCTGAAGGAAGTCTCTGGAAGAGTATCCCGCTATGTCCTCTTCTTCTAATTATTAATTTCAAGGAAAGTAGTTGGCACAAAGCCGTTTTCTGAGAAGCTCATTTATTGATGTGCTGGACCTACTTTGGGCAAGGAGGGATTGACTAAGAAAAGCAGAGATGACTCATGCAAGGATCCCAAAGGGAATCATATGGAACATATCTATCAAACTACTCCACCTTGCTGAAATATAGACTGCTGTGGACATAAACAAAGGCAGAAATTTGAGTGCTTATAGAATTAATCAGGCATTTTAAGAACTGCATATCAATTAGGTAAAACAAAGACATCACTTCTGTTATTTAAGTAATTAGTTTTCAGCTAATAAAAATAAGAGTTACTAGGGTGATAAGATACAATTAATTTTTATCTATGATTTCTTTAATATTTGAAGAATAACTGAGTTTAATTAAAAATCCATGACAAAATGTCACTTGAAGTAATTGCTGGGAAAAACTTACACGATAGCAGAAACGGCATTCTGCCTATTAGTTATCCTTGTCTATTGACTACTTTTTTTTTTTCTCTTGATGTCAGAAATTCTTTTCTACTTATGCTCTATCTTTAAATGCTCACCTGACTTACACAGGAACCCAGCACCCTAATTCTGTAAATAGAGAACTGAAAAATCCAGGTTTAGTGATGTTACATGCAAGGTAACAATTGTATCATTAAGATACAACAAATCCTCTTTAGCATTTTTTTATTACCTTATCTTTCACTTGGTAAATTTTTGCCAATTAACATAGCAGATTAAAAGTAGTTCACAAATTCCAACCTGGTTTTGCAAGCTAAAGTACAGTTTGAGAGATTTAAAAAACCTCAAAATCTTGAACTGACTGCATAAATCAGTCACATATTCCACCTTCATTTAAAACTAGTGCCAGTATCAGTACCTCAAAATTCCCTTGGCTTGCTTGAAGATGTTCCCTATGAAGAAAAACATGGAAGTAGTTTGGAAAAAGATGAAAAACATTTGAAGTAGACTCCAAGTATTCATTTGAATTACTAGAACTAATATTAGTTTAAGTTCAAGAATAATCTTGTGTGGAAGATGTTTCTGAACTGTAGAATATGCCCAGAAAAGCATAACTGGAAAATGATAGCTACAGAGTAAGAGTATTTAGCACAGATTGCATCTTGAAGAACTTCACTCTGGTTACACACGGGCCTTTTCTTGTTTACACATTTCAGTTTCTTCAAAGCATCTTGTGTCACTTCCTTTCCAGCCTGCAATCCAAGTAGTCTCCTGTACTTTCTGTTGATATCTCCTGTGTTTTTTCCCTTTCAGCTTGCTACAATTTAATATGCCTTATAAATACTCCTACTAAGCAACACCCAACAATAGGTCATTTGTTTGAATCAGCAGTTAAATTCTTTATTGTATCTTTTCATAGGATTGTTGGGAATACTATCATGAAGCTGAACTACCACAGGCATGACCGTGCTTTTGCAAAGATGCAAGTCCATCCCAGATCCACTACTGCTGGCAATGAAGTGTGGGTAAATGGGACATCTTTCAGTGGGTGCAGAATCAGTGGTTTAGAAGGAAGCAGAAACAACATTTCCCACATGGAAAGGAAGCATGGGTTAAATGGTGAATGAGCTGTGGTAGGAAGGAACTTCAGACTCTTGGAGAACATAGACTAGAAATAATTTATCCCATACTTTTTGAGAAGACATTAGTCATGCATGAGCATGCATGACCATGAATGTACATCCAATCTCAGGAAACCTCTACTGTCCCTCAATTATCCCTTTTGCTTCTTCACCTGTATGACGTTACTGCTTTTCCTGGGAGAAAAATAATGCCTTTAATTTTAATACAACTTTCCTCAAAGCCTGTGATGTTTATGCAGTTCCTCATGCCCTTCTGCTGGTTACGTCTCTTTCTGTCTTGAGACACAATACAAATATTGCATTTGAAGATAACCGCTTAGTTAATATGACAGGTTCCATGAATCCTAAGGGCCATGCATCAGAGGTCGAAAGTTTATATTCTGCTTCACAGGAATAACAGATGCAGTTTAATTCCAGCAAATGAATACCACTAAAGTTGTTCTTCAGGAAAAAAAAAAAAAAAAAATGTTTGTGTGAATAGCTTTGAGTTTAACCATATCTAAAACTAACAATAAAAATCACATTCCTCTAAGCAAAAATCTGAGCAATTTAGAACTCACAATTACTTAAAATGTATTCTCCTGTTAGCTAAAATTTTCATGTATGCAAAATTTCTGAAGCGGAAGGAGCCATGAAGCAAATATTCTTTCTTCATTTCTACATGAGATTATGCAGATATATCCTTTAACCAGAAAACTCACTATTTGTTTTATCAATATATTGCTTTGGATTGCAATAGTTAACCATTATACTATTTTCTGCAGCATTGCAACATTCTTTTTTTTTCTTTCCACTATTAATAAAGATTAATAACAAGCCAATGAAAATACTGCTTTCTAGTAAATCTATTTCAATTCTATCAAAAATTACTAGTGTAAATTTTATAATCCAACTGACAGTACTAATGAAATTTGTAAATGGAATAGAATTATTAGTAAGCAAGACTGTGATGATAAGACTTCATCACAAGGTCCAGTATGGATGCATGGGAGATAAACTGTAGATCTTTCAAAAAATTAAAGAACCTGGCAAGTTTGTAATGACATAACATACGTGTATATGTTGTAGTGATTACCAGTAACAATATTTGCATCAATATTGATATTATTGTACTACAAGAAATGAAGTTCAGTTCTTTGACATTAGGCAGTGACCTATCTCTCCATCCTTACAGCCACAGCATGGAAGTTCCAGGTGAGCCTCTTCTGGCAAATATTTTGTACCATGTGCATTGAAATGGTTAAAAAAAATATCTTCTCCTTTGATTTTCTTTATAAATTGGTGCTAGAATTCCAGCACTAGAAGCCTAATTTGAAGAAGAGATATAAAATATGAGGCTACACAGCATCCATAATCAGGAAATGCTGATGAGTCATGTTAATTATATCCAGAATGAATGGACACGGCAGTCAGCCAGGGCTGAGAGCTTTCCAACACATGTGCACAAGCCCAACTTTATGCATGAGTGTCATTAAGCTATTTACAGGATTAGAGACCCTCAATGTCAGTAATGATGTCAGTTCAGAGACCTCATAAAAAGGTCCTACAAAGAAGTTGTAAATTTAATCTTACAAAAAAAAAAAAAAAAAAAAAAAAAAAAGAAATATATTCTTAACTGTATTAGAGTTAATTCTATGCAATACTGTTTTTCATGCTCTAAAATGGAGCCTTGTAAGGTCCTGACAGATGGCTGTCAAGTATTGGAAGGCAATACTCAGTTGCCTTGATTCCTTGAGGAAGAAGGGGGGACACTTAATGTATCAGAATAGCTAAAAGTACTTTCATGTAGAATGGTCACGTTTTTCCAATTCCCTAACCTGTGGTAACAAATTTTAACACCCATCTTCCCTAGAAAACTAGTGAGGTTATATTTTCTGCCCTAACCTCACTCCTGCCTGCAACCAGCACAGAAGAGGAACTGTATCAGGAAGGAGGACAGCACAGACTACTTTGCTCTTCAAAACAAATTATAAGAAGGGAGCAGGAGGAACCACCTTGCTCTGAACACAAATCCAGGATGAATAGAAGGGTGAAGGATAAGAGAAGAAATGTAGATAAGCTGTCTCAAAGGACATAATCATTTCTCCAGAATAATACTTCATTGTATCTTTTTTACCCAGACATTAGTTATATCTGAGTTTTCATAAACTTTTTTTTTCCACTGAGTTTTGCTTTCTCAAGAGAAAAAGAATATCTAAAAA